CATCTGAAGCCACTTGCTTTCCCATCATAGCATGTTGCTTCCCAACTCTCCCTTCTTCCTTTTCACCACCTCCTGATACCCCAAAGCAAGCAACAGGGCAAGGGGAAGATTACGGACACGCTGTGTGCATGTGTGTGTGCATCTACCTGTGTGACTGAGTGTGCCCATGTATGCATATGCACACCGGTGTTTATTCCAACGGTCCTGCATCCCACCTTTAGGGGGTCAGAGGATGTCAGCACTTAGGTGAATGCACACGTGTCACTGAACACTGTGCCTTCTGGGAGAGGGAACGCCTGGCTGGAATCACAGTGTTTCACTTGGCTCTCAGAACAGCCTGGTGAGCAGTTACAGCAATTGCCATGCCCCGTGCAGATGACTCAAGCTTGGCCAGCATGAATGGTCTAATGGAGGACGGAATCCAGGCGGGAGTAAAATATCTCCATCATAAACTGAACGTTTTGCTGTTTGAACTGTTGCCAGTTTTTATAACAATTTCCATCTTAAGCTGGCTCAATACATATTTAATGAATTCTTCTATAAAACCTTTAACAGCCCTCAATTCATTTCAAGTGGCAAATGACTCAGCAGTTTGAAATGATGAGCTGGATGCTGCCTCTATATTCATTACCTAAGAAGAAAAAGTGGATTTTTCTTTTTTAAATGTTATTTCCTCGTTGGGTTCACATTCATCTGATGTGAAAACACTTATGTCTGCCAATCCTCTTTGGCTCAAAGATGTGATTTTATAAGAAGCATGCTGTAATTTTTTTTTTTTTTTGCCTTGAAGTGTTATGATATATATTAGGATCACATATTATGTAATATTTGTGTTGTTATATATCATCATGCTGTAATGACCTCTTATTACTTGTGTCATTTATTCATTCAACAAATATTATTAGGGATTTATTTCTTGTAAATAAATGGAAAATACGAAGGCAAATCAGGCAAGGACACTGTCCTCAAGATGCTTGCACACACAGGCTGTCCTAGTAAGGAATTAAAAAGACATGTTGAATCAAAGAAATGCCTCTTGACTTCATCCTGGTGCCATATGCATTATGATATACTAGATAAACCTCTGCAAACTTGGAAAGCTTAAAATGCTAGGATATACACTGATGGGGCTTCCTTGGTAGCTCAGATGGTAAAGAATCTGCTGGCAATGCAGGAGACTTGGGTTCAGTCCCTGGGTTGAGCGGTCCCCTGGAGAAGGGAATGCAACCCACTCCAGTATTCTTGCTTGGAGAATCCTGTGGACAGAGGAGTCTGGTGGACTACAGTCCGTGGGATCGCAACAAGTTGGATGAGACTGAGCAACTAAGCCGAGCACATATACTGATATTTGGCCTGAACTATCTTTGGCCTTGAGGTCCTTTTCCAACTGCAAAGGTCTTACACTTAAATGGGTACAGGACAGTGCCCCCCACCCCACCTCCCACACACCTTCCAAGCACACCCAGGCACATCTCCAAAGTCCTTTGCTTCCTCTCCATCCTCATCCTGTACTGTGTTTCTCTTTCCTCCATTGGCTCCTGAACGTTGGTCTAGCATGTTCCTCTCTGAGTTGCTGGTCCTTCTACCAGGAATACTTGTGCCATCACTCAGTCGAGTCCAACTCTTTGTGACCCCATGAACTACAGCCAGTCAGGCTCTTCTGTCCATGGGATTTCCCAGACAAGAATACTGGAGTGGGTTGCCATTTCTTCCTCCAGGGGATTTTCCTGAACCAGGGATCAAACTCACGTCTCTTTTCATCTCCTTCATTGGTAGGTGGATTCTTTACCTCTGTACCCCTAGGGAAGCCCTGGGAATGTCCCCCATTGAATAGCTGGTGACTCAGTTTTATCAACTTGTTGGTCAAAAGTCACCTTATTTATAGCTGCTCTGTTTATGATATCCCTCCCAGGACCCCCCTTCTCTTTTCACGATGCTGTTTCTCCACATCAAACATACCACTTCTGTCTTACTGTATATTTTATGTTTTATCTGATACTTCTGTTCCTTTTTTTAAACTTTTTATTTTGTATTTGAGTATACCCAATTAACAATGTTGTGATAATTTCAGATGAACAACAAAAGGACTCAGCTTTACATATACATGTATCCATTCTCCCCCAAACTCCTCTCCCATCCAGACTGCCACAAAACATTGAGCAGAGTTCCCAGGGCTATACAGTGAGACCTTGTTGGTTATAAGCAACTACCTGAAGCAGGAATTGCTGCTGTATTTCCAGTGCCTAGGAAAAGTATTTACTACAGAGCAGGTTCTCCCTAGCCATTTGCTATATGACTGGATGGATGAATGAATGAATGTGTCTAAACACCTACATGTATATAGGTTTTGTTTAGTACCCAAAGCCATTCGTACCCCAAGGTTCCCACACTTGTGCAGAGAAGAAGAGAGGATTCTTAGTGTGTGAGTAACAATTAAATTTTTGTAAAACAAAACCCTGGAATCCACCCTGTATTCCACTTTAGACATCATAGTCACTCTTGGAGTATACCTTTTCCAACCTGCTTAAGATCTGGTGAAATGAATTTTTTCTGTGAAAATCCAGACAGCATTTTTACACTATATTTTAGAAACATGGCTTCCAGTTTACATATATTTGCATATTATATCCAGAAAGTCTTAAATTACAATGACATTATGTAAAATAAAGTAATCCAAAAAGGCTGATGGATGACAATTGTGTATTCTAATCAAGTTTTCCTGGAGTCAGCACATTTTTCTAAGGGGTAAAGGAATTATTTCTAAGCCTCATCCTCTAAACTCAGGGCGCCGTTGCTTGTTTTGAGAAGTAATTTGGAGGTGTCAGGTCACAGGTCATCCTAAAAGTTTAATAACCACAGTTAGCTTCTCCCACTTACTGACATCATGTACTCTATGTCACATGTATTCCTAAGTTTTCTAGACTGAGAAATGAAGTTCCTCCTGTGAACTCAGGTTAAATAAGCAAAAGTGAAAAACTGAATTCTAATAGTAAGTAATAGCCTCTCTTTCTGCACTGCGTATTGTTATAATTTTAATTGGTGAAGAAAAGACCCTAACCAATAATGTCAAGAGGTACTCTGTACTCTTCTCGGACATCTGCTCTGGTGTGGTCTTCTTAATGAGTCCCCTTCAAAAGTAGATTTCCTGAAATAATTTTCCCAGCAATCTGAAATCACACATCTGCTGGTTCATGTGCGGCTCAGCCAACAAAGAGGACACAGCATCCAGTATTCCGCCTGTGTCATTGCTGCCTAAGGCAATGCCTGTTAGGGAATCAGGTATTCAAGCACTACTGATGAGTTCTTGTTTTCTAGGGAAAGCTAGCATAATTTTGTTTATTCCCTCTTCTCCAGTGAAGTGGCCAGGGTCTCCTGTGTCTCCCTACACCTGCTGGACTGCTATCCTCATGGAACAAAAGCAAAGTTGGTTTTGTAATGAACCACCAGCTCATTTACTGGAATCAGAACTTCTGAATCACCCTTGTGATGTGCTCCTTTATAAACTTCACAAGGCTTGCAAAGTATTTCTGCTTCAAGGCTCCCAGAAATGTCTGGCCCCGTGCCAGAGATGAAGCAGACGCTTCTGAGCACAGTTGGTTCAGCGAAGGAGTGAGTGCACAACATTCAAACTAGGACCAACTGCGGTGGGTGTTTATTTGAGACCTTTTCCAGAATCACACCCACAGATCTCTCCTGCCTCATCAGAATGACATCAGTCACAGGCTGTTGCTTTGTTTGTGCTTGAAATTGGGTGAAGGAAGGGAAGGTAAAGGGGACTTGGTTTTTATCTGTGATTCTGCCTCCTTGTTGTCACTGGCCTGGCCACACAGGCTAAAACAGGTGGATGGCCAGCCCCTTGCACTTGCTCATCGCTTCCCTCCTGGGAAGGTACCAGTTACATGTCCTCCAGGCCATCGAGGAAAAGAAAGGACCTCTGCTGATGCACTAGTGTGTTCTCCTGCAGAGGCTTTCAGCCCACCTCATCCCCTGTATCTTTGATCGGGCTGCCCTCTCAGTCAGTAAACTGGGAAACATTGATCCCTCGGGGACCACTCTAAGCCCTTTCTGCTCTATTAAGTCTTCTCTGCTTCCCTTCCCAGTGAAACGCTGGTGACTCTTTTCCTGTGCTTCCACTGTAAATTTATGCAGACCTCCAAGTTAGAAGCAGAATTCTTTATTTTCCATTTTATATCTATCTCGTTTCCTAAACCATAGGCTTCTCAAGAAGAGAATTCTCCCTTTTCAACTTTGATTTCCTAATGCTCACAGAAGTGCCAGAGTCCACACACTGAAGAAACTTGGTTGAATGGGTGATAGACAAAACAAATAATCCTTTGGATATTCTGGAACTCAGGAATGATTATTGTTTTGTTAGTGTCTCATCTTTTGGGCTTCCTAGGTGGTGCGAGTGTAAAGAACCTGCCTGCCAATGCAGGAGACATTAAGAGACTTGGATTCCATCCCTGGGTCAGGAAGATCCCCTGGAGGAGGGCATGGCAACCCCCTCTAGTATTCTTGCCTGGAGAATCCCAGGGACAGAGAATTCTGTCCATGGAGGCTAAAGTCCATAGGGTAGCAATGAGTCATACATACTGAAGCGACTTAGCACATATGCCTTCTTTTATTTCTCCTGGGCCCAAGGATAGATTGATAAGGATTCTGAATTAGAATGAGTTTAGATACTAATATTTAACATCACAGTAGCAGTGGAGCAACAGATAGAGGTAGAGACTTATTAGAAAGAAGTACAGCACCTGGTCTCTTCAAACCTAGAAGCCATATTCTTTGGCTCTAGGGATGGATAAGATTCAAGTTGTAGAGCTCTGTGGGGCTTCAGTCCCTAGTTTGTCTCACTTTGCCTTATGCCACCTGAAAATGAGTAAATGAACCAACAGATGGCTGAGGTCTATATTTGTAGACTAGAATTAGAGAGTGAAAAAATAAATTCTTGTAGCCAGCTCCTAAACTTAGAGAAAATATTTTTTTTTGCTTGCTTATAGATATGACCTTGAGAAAGAGCCGAGGTCAGTGACAATCAACCTTGAAGAGCAGGTGAACTAATTGCCTCAAGAAGTGAAGTAAGCGGTGTCCATCTATGGCTCCCTGACATGGTTTAGCAATATCTGTGGGACCATGATCAATCAGTGGCCATTGGTGAGGCAAAGGGGACCATGCCCAGGGAAGTCCCCATCGTGAACATTAATAATAGAGGAAATTCTCATTTATGGACCACATAGAGTTGTTTCAGGAAGTGTTCTGAATATACACCAATTACATGGAGATTATGCACAAGAGGTCATGTGATTATGAAACACTTTGCCATTCAAGTGCAATTAGGTTTTATAGTTCATTACAGACTGTTTAAAAGTGGTCCCTCCAAATATTTTAAAATAATGTTTTGAAAAATGTTTTAAAATAACTGAAAGCTACTAGTCTTCTCATGGCTTCCCTGGTGGCTCAGTGGTAAAGAACCCACCTGCCAATGCAGGAAATGCAGGCTCAGTCTCTGGGTCAGGAAGATCTCCTGGAGAAGAAAATGGCAATACACTCCAGTATTCTTGCCTGGGAAATCCCATGGACGGAGGAGCCTGGAGGGCTGCAGTCCGTAGGGTAGCAAAAGAGCTGGACACAACTTAGCGACTAAGCAGCTAGTCGTCTAAGCAGCTAGTCGTCTAAGCAGCTAGTCGTCTAAGCAATATCTGTTTGTTTAGTTCACTGTAGACAGCTTCTTTAAAGTGAGATGCAAGTAAGTCATTCTTAAATGGAGACGAACATTTCAGTTTATAGACATCATGTGCCTTTTCTGATTTGGTGGCAGATCATGTTTCATTTATTAAGAGCCACTGATTTCATTCAGGTAAGATTGCGTAATACCACAGGCAATAGCACTGAGATAGGAGCTCACAGTGTATTTTTAAGCATTACCTTCAAAGCAATTCAAAGTGAGAAGCAAGAGAAGTCTCCTTGGTTTCTTTAAGAACTTCCTTCCAGTCATTGGGAACTGAACTGAATACAGAAGAGCCATTAAGAGAATTGGATTTTCAGCACTCTGAAACCCCAGCTTTATAAAGACAAGATAGGTCTCATGTATATCCTTAATTTTCCACTACAGCTTTATAAAGACAAGAAATTATATATCCTTAATTTTCTACTGAACAAGTTCAGTTGAAGTCAGTTGACTTCCAAGCCTTTGCTCTTATGTTTCATAGGGAATGGGGCCAAGACATGGAGAAATTTGCCATGTTGAATTGGGCCATGTTGAATTCAAGAACTTGTGGGAAGGCCAAAACACATTTAGCTGAGTGAACACCAGTATAAGTTGTCATAGCATATATATTTCTCTTGAGTTGTATGGCACTTAAAGGGCTAATGAATGACTGGGAGTAAAGTAAAAGAAAAGTTCATTACAACTCGTTAAAAATGAATACAATTCCAAATCAATTTCCATTAGTTAAAGTGTAGATATTATACATGTCTTGGAAAATTTTTATTATAAATTCATGCTAAACCTGTGAGTAAGAGTGGTTAGTCCATGTCTCTTTCCCTAATTAAAAAAAAAAAAAAAGAACAGGAGAGATGGTATCCAGTTACTTTCTTATTAAATGAAATATTTAAAAGGCATCATCTTGCTTCTCATGGCCATGTCCTGATTATGTCAAGTCAAATTAGTTAAGTATATAAATTGCAGTAAACACAAGTGACAGATAAATGAAATGCATGGCGACACTCCCATGAAAACCAACTATGGACTCCACACTAGGTGGCAATTTCACAGTCACCATCTGGGGATCCAAAAGAAGAAGAAACCAATCTTCAAGTGGAATTATGCCGGTGCCAACACGGTGCTTTTCTCTCACCACCTCTGCTGTGTGCTTAATTTTTTTATTTTCACCCAAAGCTCTAGTACTTGTTCTCTGAAGATAAGTGAAAGAGTAAAAGAACTCTTTCATTTGTATTTTTTTTGGCTTAATTAATCTATTCTAGCCCTACACTTTTACTTTTAACTAAAGCTACTTTATGGAATGTACGGGATAGTATCTCTAATATCTGGTAATAAATGTTCTCAGATTTCAGTGTGTGGATTGCCTTTCTCTCACTTATAAACACCAATTAAAGCACAGACAATTGTCAATTGTTTAGAAGCCTGATTCACAGTTTCTGGGAGCTGACCATGTCCTAATTACTGTGCTAAGCCTTAGAAGTAAAGTTATCAGCAGTACAGAGGAGTATCATCACCTCAATAACTTATTAGTGAAAGAGAAGGGCACATATACATATAATTGCAATTGGGCATGAAAAATTTCAGGTTTCCCAGATGGCACTAGTAGTGAAAAACCTGCCTGCTAGTGCAGGAGACTTAAGACACACAGGTTCGATCCCTGGGTCAGTAAGATCCCCTGTAGGAAGGCATGGCAACCCGCTCCAATATTCTCGCCTGGAGAATCCCATGGACAGAGGAGCCTGGTGGGCTACAGTCCATGGGGACACAGAGAGTTGAACACGACTGAGTAACTTAGCGTGGATGGTAAATTCCATGACAAGGGCATTTGAGGTTCTCTGGGAACTTGCAAAGAGGTTCTTAAACTGCCCTAGGGGATCAGAGAATGTACCAAGGGAAGAAACTGATAATCAAGAATTAAAAAAAAAAATTTATTTGGCTGCATTAGGTCTTATTTGTTGTACGCAGGCTTCTTTCTAGTTGTGGCGCCTGGGCTTGCAGTGGCCCTAGTTGCCCCAAGACATGTGGGATCTTAGTTCCCTGGCCAGGGATTGAAATGAAGTCCCCTGAGCTGTAAGGAGGATTCTTAGCTGCTAGACATTCAGGAAAGTCCCAATATTTAAGAATGTAGGGATAACTAGACGTTACCTAGGTAAAGACATAGGTTGTTTAAATCAATGGGAGCAGATGAGGGGAAAGCCCAGAGGCAAGTGACCATGAAATACCAAACAAAATTTTTTTAAGTTTTAAAAATGCAAAAAGAAATATGACAGTAGCATTGGCAGGAAATTGGTCCTGGTGACTCGGAGAAGGGGGCAAAGGTAGGGTAAGGAAGGGCCTTGTAGGCAAGGTTGCATATTTTACCTGAAGCACGGGAATAATATGGTACATTTACATTTTAGAAAGTACACTCCAGCTCCAGTGTGGAGAATGGATTGTGAGGGAGCAAGCCTAGGGGCAGGGAGATGTGTTACAATAGTGGATGTAGCTGTAATGGAAGAATAACTCAAATATATTGAGAGCTTCCTTTGTGTCAGCAATTATTTTAACGTGTGTATTAACTCTTTAATTCTAACCACATCCCCTTACGGTCATATAACTATTATTCCTATTTTCTGAGTGAGGAAGTTAAGATGGAGTCCACAGGTTACCCAAGTTTACAGAGCTGGTAAAGAACAGATCCAAAGTTTTAACCCAGAGAGTCTTAGCCTGGAGTTCACTTCCTTAATAATCACTGCCCTAAAATCTTAGAAAAGAGTAATATCAATAAAAACAGCAGGCAGATCCTAAGGTCTGAGAAGTAAGCCAGTTCCAGGTCAGAGTGAAGTTTTTGATGTTCAAATTTGAGCTGAGTATCAAATCAGGTAAGCAATTCCTAGTGGAAACACACCCAAACTACAGAGGTTGAAGGTCAAAATAAGGGGTCACAGTGCAGATCAGTAGAGAAGGTCAGAAGAGCCAAAAGTAGAGATTGAACATTTTGAAATGTGAAACAAAACAAAAAGCAGAGCAAAGCAGATTGTCTTAAGATAAAAACATTCAGAAACCCATATTTTCAGCAACTCAAGGAGGAGAGCCAAAATGAAGGAGTACAGATGTGCAGTAACGAAACGAGACAGAGTAGGTTATGTGAGACAGGTTTTTGCCTCAGGCCTGAACTTTTTTATAGTTCTTGTTGAGTTCCAAACCAAAGTCTTTGTGACTTCTGGGCTATCCCAGCTGGGGTCCAGGTAAGGGAGTAATTGAGAACATGTGATTGAATTGACATCTGTTGGAAGATAAGTAGCAATTGATAGAGAGTTCTTCCTGAGCAGAATATGGCTGATCTATTATAAATACTTGGTGTTAATAGAGTGGGCCTCCCAGGTGGTGCTAATGGTAAAAAAGCCGACTGCCAATGCAGGAAATACAAGAGACACAGGTTTGATCACTGGGTTGGGAAGATCCCCTGAAGGAGGGCATGGCAACCCACTCCAGTATTCCTGCCTGGAGAATTCCATGGACAGAAGAGCCTGGAGGGCTATCATCCATAGGGTCGCAAAGAATCAGACAACTGAAGTGATTTAGCACACCAGGCATTAATAGCTTAGTGGGTTCCTCTGAGTTGCAGAAACTCAATAGAGATTTATTGTATGACTAAATAAATGAATAAGTGAGGTATCTGTTTCTTACATTGAATTATCGATGGCTAAAATAAAGGGGGTGGCCATACACCTAAATTATCTAATATTGAAAGATAGTGGAGGACTTCCTAGGTGGCCCATTGGTTAAGACTTTACTTTCCAGGGCAGGGTTGCTGGTTTGATCCTCAAGCAGGGAGCCAAGACCCCATATACATTGGGGATGAAAATAAACAGAACAGAAAACAGAAACAATATTGTAACAAAGTCAGTAAGAGAGTTTAAAAAATGCTTTTCACATTTTAAAAAATTAAAAAAAAAAACCTTTAAAAAAAGAAAGATAATGGGCCTCTATTTCCATGATAGGCCTTTATTCAAGATAAACCCCATATTCCTGATCCTTTTGGCAATATTATGAAAGTCTAAAATAAGAGTTTTCTCTATTGTGAAGTCATAAAAAAAAAAAAGAGTGTGATGATTAGAGAGAGGAAGACCTAAATTTGGGAACTTGTTCTACCGCTGACTAGTCTCAGCTTCATCATCTGGAAAACTGGGATAGTAACAGTCAAATCTCAAGCTAATTATAAACAAAATTGGGAGTACAGAAATACACCCTAGGGGCTTCCCTGGCGACTCAGGCGATAAACAATCTGCCTACAATGTAGGAAACCTGGGTTCGATCCCTGGGTCTGGAAGATCTCCTGAAGAAGAGAATGGCTACCCACTCCAGTATTATTGC